AGGGATGCACCTGCCACAGGGGAACATCCCCACGTGTTGCTATTTTAAATGTGGCTTCTTCCAGTTGAACTCGTGCAGCAAAAGCCTGCGCTCCCTACTCTTGGACTTTGGGAGAGGTGCCGCTGCTGCAGGATCCATCGCAGAAGAAGACTCCCGGAGCAGGGGGTTTAAAACTAAAGCAGGGCATACACCTCAAATTTGCTTAGTGGGAGTGAGAGAGAAAAAAGAGCTGGATTGCAAGAAAAAAGTGTGGAAAAGTCTCCAGATGGTGATGCAGCAACTGGACGGCTCCAGACGGCACCTGGATAGTCCCCTGGTACCTGCAGAACAGCCCTCCCAGGAGCCAGCCGGCTCTCCCAGAGGCACAAACCCCAGTTTCCCAGCACAGGGTGTCATGGTGACCATGGGAGCCCTTGGAAGCCACCAAGAGCCTAATGTGGGACCCTCAGCCACAGAACCAGCCTCCCACCCCAAACCCAGCCCCTTGTCCTCACAACTGCTGCTGAGAGGAGAAGTGATGAGAAGCCTGTTTCCCTGCTGTTTTATAAAAAGAAAAACAGGCTTCAGGGCCACCAGATGGGAATATTTTTCTAAGATACATCAGGGCACAGTGATGCTGCTGGCACCAGGATGGATTAAAACATGAAATCACAAGGAGAAAACATGGGGATGCCACTGATGCAGCCAGTGTTGGGGTGCTCGGGGTGGCAGCAGAGGCACGGGAGTGCGGTCCCTGGCTGGCAAGGCTCTGAGATGGAGCAGGGGCACATGGAGGAGGGTCTACAAAGAGGGACAGACTCCCAGCAGAGGCTTGTCCTCCCAGCCTGGCCCATAGCACCCAGTGCTGCATTGGCAGGCAGCTTCCCAGAAAATAAAGGACTGTTGCTGTTTATCAGGTGTTATCCTGCAAGCAGACCTGGAGACTGAAGGGAGCTGAATTGCAACATCAGTTTAGCAGCTCTATTAGTCCCAGCAATTACTTCCAGCCATTTGGAAAAAAAAAAACCAACAAAAACACAATGCCACAGTTTTCATTTTGGTATAACTTTGTGACAAAACAGCTTCTTTCCACACAGGTGGACGCAGCTTTCGTGGTAGCTAACACAGCTGCTGCCCGGTGGGAAGGGAGGCGCCCTTATCTCCTGCGCTAGGCACACCGCACCTTGTGGGGTGGGAAAATAAGTCAGAATGGGCTTTTTTGAGGAGGGACAGCTTTTGTTGCTGTCCTGGGTTGACTGGCACCTGGCATAGCGGGAGCTGCGGGGGTGCGTGGGCAGCCAGGGTAACGTGGCAGTGCCCACTCTTGCCCCCATGGGCACTAAGAGCACACGGAAAGGTCTGTGGGTGGGCAGGGGAGGTGGAGGCACAGCAAAGCAGCGCCTGGAAATGGCACGACAGGCTTGTGCTTAATAACCAGTGTGAAACAGATTGTTGCTTGGGATTTATTACACCACCTAGTGAGCTGTCCTGGGCTGCCCTTTGGAGTTTCAGCTCCCACTCGTGCCTTGGCAGTGGCATCTGACACCAAATCTTGCCCTGGGTCATGCTAGGCACAGGAGCTCCCTGCTCCCTAACACAGACCTCAGCTTCTGGGCCATGTAAGGTCTGTCCGGGGTCTCTGGAGGACATACTTGGAGAAATGTCTGTGTTTGCCCACACTCAGCATTTTTCAGCCCCCCTTGTTGTCCAGGCCCATCCAGGTGTCTGCAGGGAAGAACAGGGACAGGTCTGGTTTCTCTGTTCCCTGACAGCTCAGGGACGTCTCTGCCTGCTGGTCTTGCTGCACTGCACTGCACTGCCCTCCCCACCTGCATCCCCCCTTCCAAGAGACTCCTCCCAGCTTGCCTTCCAGCCCCCTCCCAAGTTTGCACCTCTAGGGCACCTACAGCTGTGCTTGCTGTGTGTCTTTAAATGCCCGTGAAGAGCTTTCTCCAAGTGCTGCTGGTTTTGGGTCCTGCAAGCCCTGTTCCATCTTTCTCCCTCAGTCTTTGGCTGGACACATTTTTATTTTTCACGCGCAGTCTCTGCCTCCAAATACCTTTCTAACTCAGGCTTGGTTCCTGTGTGTTTCTCAGCAGTGTCCTGCAGGTAAGAAGGCACCATCCTCTCCCCACTGACTTTTCTAGCACAAACCCCAGTCCCCAAGCCCGCACCACCCTGCTGATGGGGTGTTTCCAGCCCCTGACGTCTGCAGGTTCTGGCTGCCTGCGGTGCGTGATGCTGGCTGAAAAGGCCCTTTGATGAGCAGGACAACAGCAGCGAATCCGCCCCGGCAGCAGCTGCGATGGGTGAGTGCTGGCACGGGGATTGCAGGAGGCAGCCAGCTCTGTGCCGGGGCTGCTGCATCCCTCTCCTTTTCTCAACTTTCCTTGCAGCTTGATGTGCGCAAAGAACCCTCTTTTCTCCCGCAATTGCACTTTGCTCACCACAGACAAGCGGCTGCCTGGGCAGAGACCGAGTAGTGAAAGAAGAGCAGATGACTGGAGAGACCAGGGCAGCGGAGCAGAGGGAAGACACCTCTTCATGGCCTTAATAATAGTGATGATGTTAGAGGAAGACTGTCCGTGCTGCAGTAGTGCACACGGCCACACGATGGCCCGGGCTCTCAGTAGCCCCTGAGCCACTGAAGGCTGACTGCCCATACACAACCTGCTAGAGAAAGGCACAGAGAGGGGTGAGGTTGCCCTGGAGCCTGGCACACGCTGTCTGTCACCTCTACCTGCTCATGCTGCTTTCGGATCCTTCAATGCAGCGGGTCTGCAAAACAACGGTGTCTGCTTGGAGAGAGGCAGGGAAAGGATTTGGCTCACCTCTGCTAAGTGGGCAAACCCTTGGGTGAAAAGCCTGGCTGTTGTCACCACCACCATCTCCATTCGTCGCTGCCAGCTACTTAAAGTCAGCTCCAGGTTGACTCAGCAGTCCAAGGAGAAAAGACAAGTCGTGCAATTCCCCCAGGACGTGGGGCTCTCCCTGGCACGCAGGTGGAGGGGGGGACACTGCTCTCACCATCCTCACTCCTGGGGTTCAGCCTGCCTTCAAGTTTACTTCCAGGAGACGAAAAATTAGGTTTGCTCTGCTAGGTTTTTGCAATCAGTCAAAGCCAACCAGCACTGAAATATGTTGTATTTAAAAATTAAACAAATTAACTGCATCTGGCAACTAGCTATTGCTCTCTTCATAGTGCTTCTGATGTAAGTTCTGCCCTTGCTACAGAATTTACCCTCCCCTCAGTGCTACCGGTGGGGGAGACACCTACATTACTGTAGCTAGAAGGCCAAAGGGAAGAATTAAAAAGCCTATTTGGCTGCATCTGTGCACTATTTCGCCATATCAGCTGCCTGCAAGCAGCTCCAGAGATACCATTGGACTATTTAACAGTGGCTATTACCTGCAGCTTCCAGCACCTACTGGCTATCCAAACTCCTGAAGGAAATTAAGGAAATTAATATTTCTTCAATGAAAAGATTAAGAGCTTTAATTAATGAAGGGTAAAGAAAGAAGGCTTTAGGCTAGGCGATCTGCGGGCAGCACGTACAGCAGCGAGGCAGCAGCTGGCCGCAGCGGCGTGCAGTAGTGGAGCCATGGCTTGTCTGAGCCTGCATCTGCAAGCAGGGCACAGTAAGTAACCCAGAATGAGCCACAAAATTGACACACCCTCCCATGGAGAGCAAACCCTTCTGCAGCTCTCACAGGCTTCAAGCAGAACAAATGGAGGATTTTTCCTATGTGGCACCAGGTTTTGGGGTTGAGATGCACACAGCAGCACGGCAGTCAGCTGGTGCCACGAGCACGAAGGGCAGCATTTGAACATGCAAGTTGTGCCATGGTGGAGGAGGTGGGAAAGGGCAGTGGAAAGCAGCAGTTTTGCGTGCTTTGGGGGAACAGCAAAGCCAGATAAGCCCTGCATATCCAAGATAACTGTGGAAAAGGGATTAACAGCAGTGAAGTGTGAAGCCACAAATCCCATGGAGGGGAGAAAAATAATGATAAAAGGACCCAGTGGTTGCAAATGAGAGTAAGAAGCATCACTCGGAAAGTATAGCCAACATCTGAAACAACCCTATTCAGTGAGCCGAGGTCTTAAGAAAGCATTAGAGAGCAGGTAATAAGCAGCCAGCTGAAAATGAGCTTGTGCTTTGATATTTTACCTACTGCCAGCAGGTGCATTATGTTGGAGAGGATTGAGAGACCAATACCATCAGGAAGAGATTTGTACGATGAATTCTTGTAAAATAAAATACCTGTTACTTCTCTGGGCATTTAGCCAAGTACAGAGTCCTTGCCTGGATGGTGGCTCAGGAGTCTTGCTTGGTTCGAGTAATATGTGTTTAACAAGTCCTCAGTAATCCAGGAGCAACCAGAGCAGTCCAGGAGCACCGGCCGTTGCAAACACCACGGGCAGCAAGGTCTCTGCTGCGGGGGGCTCATGGGGACCATTTTTTGTTAGGACGCTAATGACAGCGTGCTTTGTGCCAACAGCTTCTCAGAATAACAGGACAGAGAGAAGAGAGGGAGGAGTAGTTTTTAAAATAGTAAAAATAAGTTACCTTCATCCTCCCCTCCCCCTGCTCCTGAAATGAAGGAGCCTTTTATTCCCTCTTGTTTCTAGGAGAAACTAAAGTCTAAGATGTAGCAGGTCTAGGGAAGAAAGGAGGGAGGGGTCCAAGCAGTTCCCAGAGGAGGACTGGGCTGTGGTTAGACCCACCCTGCTGAGGGACAGCAAGGAAAACTTGCTTTATTCTTTGTGCTTTCTTCTCCAAACTCGAATATTGAAGGCAAGTATGAAACTGGGCAGTGCTGGAGCAGGAAAAAGGAGCAGTGGACACACAGGCTTTAAGGATGGAGGATCGCCAGGTGTTATCTCAAGAAATGTCTACAAGACGACCGGGATAAGTAAAAGCTGTGCAGGTGGAAGGCAACAGCACCTTTTCCTGACTGCTGCCCTCTCCCTTTAAGCTGGGGTGGACGATTTGCCCGGCTCCCCTTGCACCTCCTGGCGCCGAAGCTGCCTGAGGGGCGGTTTCCTGTGATGAGAAGGGTTTGCAGGCTGGGAAGAAGCAGAGGAGGGACCTTCCCTTGCGAAGGGGAGGAGGAGGAGGAGGAGGAGGGAGGAGGCCCAGAGGCCACCGGAGCTTTCGGTTTCATTTCCCCGAAGTTCCTGTGCTCCATCAGAGCCCTGAGAGGCAACTCAGGCACCATGGCCAAGGCGGGTGCTGTGGCCGGGCTTGAGGACGAGCTGACCTGTCCCATCTGCCTGAGCGTTTACCGCAACCCCGTGACCCTGAGCTGTGGTCACAGCTTCTGCAAGGAGTGCATCCAGGAGGCACGCAGCTGCCTCGATCGTCCTTTCAGCTGCCCGCTGTGCTGCACGCAGGCGGACCTCACCGCAGAGCTGCAGCCCAGCTTCCAGCTCCGCAGCATAGTGCAGAAGCTGTTGGATGCTTCTGCTCATCAAGAGGAGGAAAAGCATGAAGAACAATGTGAAGAGAAGGGGGAAAGTTCGGGCCAGCAAGATGAGGTGGTCCCATGTGATTTCTGCCTTCAGGAGACGCAGCCAGCTGTGAAGACGTGCCTGAGCTGCGAGGCCTCCCTGTGCCAAGCTCACCTGCACAAGCACAACACAAAGAGCTTCCTGAAAGACCATGTCCTGACAGAGCCCTGTGGTGCTCACGTTTTGGCTGAGATGAGATGCCCCCAGCATGGCAAACTGCTGGAGTGCTACTGCGAGACGGAGTCGATGTCCATCTGCGTGCTGTGCTGTGTGACCAGCTCCCACAAGAACCACAAGATCATCACTTCGGAGGAGGCTTTTGGCCAGGCACAGGTAAGAGGATGCCGGGAGAGCAGCCTGGCCGTGGTTTGCAGTAGGTAAATCATGAGGGTCTGTGGAACCGAGAGCTGAGAGCACAGGGATGAAACATCTCTCGAGTTTCAGATATGCAGACTCGGGATGGGACTAAACCTCTGTCTTGGGATATGGGGCTTTTATTCCTAGTTTTGCCCCAGATTCCCTCTGGGCTTGCCCCTCAGGATACAAAACAAGATATTATAAACAACTTCTTCCCATCCTGAGGAGCCAGACTGGTGGAACTGAGTGCTTGCGGCCATGGTTTTAGTCCTCGGTGCAATTGAAAGCTGGAGGATCAGGCTGAGCTGCACTAATGCAAAGAAAATTAATGATGGAGTAACAGAAAGGAAGCTGTCAGCACTGAAAGTATGTGTGGCTATTGCACATGAACAGTTTTCATTTTCAGAACGTCTTTCCCATGCTTGTAATTGTGGTATTTGTTCAGGGATAAAATCTTCCAGTAAATCTTTATGTATTGATTTGTTCTGAGAGCCTGCAGTGAACAGACGTTCTGCAAGTCTGGCTTAACCCTCTTCCATAAAATTGCTGATTTTGTGCACATATTTTGGTCCTATCCCAATAACTCCCTCTGGTTGTTTTTTTATAGAGTGCTTTTCATGAAACTCTGGAGACAGCGAAAAAACACGAGGCTGCACTGGATCAAATTGTAACAAACCTGCTGAAACAAGAGGAGGAAGTAAAGGTTTGTTTCAATATCTCTATCTCTTCAAGGATGACTGCATGCTGGTAGCTGATAAGGTTTTCTTTTGCCCTTCCCCAAATCATGGACTCTGTTGCCTTTTTTTTTTTTTTTTTTTTTAGCTCCTGGGTAGTTTCTCACATATTTACCGCCTTACTTCTCTAAGGGATGATGATGAACAATGTTCTTATCAGTCTGGAAGTACATTCTTAGGTTCCAAAGTACCTTTGAGCTTGAAACGCTGTTAAGTCCACACCTCCTGATTGGTGGGTGGTGACTGGCTTTTTTCTTCCCCAGCCTTATTCAATTTGCTGACTCTAAACTATTTATGGAAAAGATGTCAACCATGTTACAGTGATTTTATTCCTCTTTACAACAAGAAATCCCTTTAGGTTAGCCTGTGATTCTAAGAAGGTGGTAGGAATGAGGTTAAAAGATAGTCCCAAACTGTCTGGGTTTTGTTCCCAGCGTGCAAATACCTATGTAAAAGCTCTGCAAGAACAGAGAATTTAATGCAGGTCTCCAAATCCTAGTTCATTCTGCTCAGGCACAATTGTCACTTGCCTTCTTCCACCAGCAAAAGTGATGGGACTAGAAGCCCTGACACTGGGCAGAGGAAATGCTACCTTCTAGTCCAAAGACAAAACCGTACCTATTGGCAGTGTCCCGTCTGGCAGCTGCTTTCAAAGCTTGAGGTCATGCTTTTCCTCCCCCATCCTTAAAACTACTAAAGGCAGTGTCTCTGTACAAAACATTGTAGTGGAGAACAAGGAAATACAGACATAGTGAAAAGTCTTCAGCAGGCACTGTGTAAGAAGCACTACTTTTTCATCTTTTTCTGGTCAGGTGCTAGATGTTGGCACCTTATGTCATTGGCCTTCCAGCTGTCAGTGGGACATCTTGGTCTGCTGTCATACAGAGAAGCACTAAGTAGTTACTTCTCTCAGTCCAGAAAAGACCAAGCTCTTTTCTGAGTGAGAGTTAGTGTGGAAAATGTAACTTTCAGTCCCTAATAGCTTTGAAAGTGTTTTCTTAGTAGACTAAGGAGATTCTGCAGAGGAATCAGCTGGAGACCTTCTTTGGAGAGATGCATCTGCAGCTAGACAGCAAAAAAGAAGAGGTTCTGAAAGCTCTCAGTCACAAAGAGGAGCAACAGCTTTCTCAGATTCAGATGAAGATACAGAAACACAAAGAGGTGAAGGATGCAGTCAGCCGTGATGTACAGGAGCTAGAGGCTCTGAGAGATCAGAAAAATGTGTTTATTTTTGTCAAGGTACGTAACAGCATCTCCCTTCCCATAGGTACTTGGCTCTTGGGCTGGCCTTTGCCTGTACTATGCTAATTCTACTTCCAAAATGTCTTTTACAGGCTTTTGCAGCAATTCAAGCCAGGTAAGCTCTTCTCAGAGTTGTCCGTTATTCCATTACATGTTGTTTCAAGTGACTGATAGGCCAGTGGTGTGGGTCTGCTAGCCCAGCCTGTGCTCATCCGGGCTGCCTCTTGGACATGCTGATGGCCCACTCTGAGCCTGGCTTCGTTGGAGACCTGAAGAAGCTCAAAAATATTAACGGAGGTTATGTGTGACTCTTGATATACAACATGGCTTATTTTTCTATACCCTCTGTGCCTGTTCCCGAGACCCATTCTGAGGGCAGTCCCTGAATATTTAAGTCCCTGGGTGGGCGTGCAAAGGATGGATGAACTTAGATATCCTGAGTTGTCATCCAGTTTGCATTGCCTTCTGCTTGTAAGAAGCAAATACGACAGGAGGTGAAATGTGCAATGAAGTTGTGAGTCTACAAAGGTCTGTAGCTGTTCCCCCAGTGTCTGCCCAGGCTGTTCCTCTGGCACAGCCCACTGCAGTGTGCATGCAGGCTCCCCGAGCCCCACAGCACTTCTCGTTTGCCATCCTGGCATCGCAGTGGCTGCCTCTGACACCTCGTCAGCTCCTGCTGTGGGGATCTGAGGACTGTAACCACAGGCACGATGCTGGGATCTGTTCTGGCAAAAGCTGGGGCTGAGATGGCTGAGGCAAGGTCCTCTGGGGAGAGATATTGCCCATGGAGTGAATTTTATCCTAATGATGTTGACGAGGTTTTGGGAAAAGACTGGTCAGAGGGGGACGATAGAAGCTGCTTTCTGCGTGTCCCATCAAGGCTGGGTGTGGAGTGGAATATACAGATACTGGTTCAGGGATGACCTTGGTGATAGTTTTCTGCACGTTTTAGGGAACGCAAGCCAGTTCCTAGCAATGATGGTGTAAAACTGCCAGAACCGTCCATTATTTTGGATCAAGCAACAAGAAACACTACTCTAAGGCTTTTCCAGCAGTTCCTCTCAGACATGCAGTCCTTATTTAAAGGACCACCCGGTAAGTGATCATTTCACTATGTGGCAAGACAGAGAAGCTAAAAAACATATTTAAGAAGGGACTGTAATAACACACCAAGTACTCAGGGTACCTCTAGAAGAACTGATTACTAACATTGTATTATTTTCACATATGTGTACCTAAAAGGGTGCTTGTCCTAGGATCAGTGCTTTGGGACATGCCTTGAATACACCCTGTTAAAATAGCCTCTGGATAAAAAGGCATGGGTGTCCTAGGAGGTTTTTTTGGGGGATTAAAATAACAGAATAGCAGCACCTCTTCTGCCTGCAGTATCACTTTGATTCAGAGCATGGGGAAAGTAGAGAAATCATCACAGCAACAGCTGGTGGAGTTTGTCTCACAAAGTATATAATCTACTCTTTCTAACCAAATCATTCTATGCCTTTTAAATGTTTTGTAACGTCAGCCTGCAGCCCCAGTGTCGTGCATGGTAGGATGTTTGTCCAACTGCATTGAAAAAATGGTAGAATTCCCATGTTATTGCTCTCTTAATGGTGCTTGAGCCCTTGCTGACAGCACACAGGGTCAAGACCAAGAGGCGGCTGTGGTGGGAGGGTTCTGCCCAGAGCATGTGCCGCAGTGTGCAGTGTGAGACCGGCTTGGCTGCCGTCCACACAGCCCTGGGTACGCTGAGGAGCACACCAGGCTACTTCTGAGCTCCATCTCTACCATCCCTGTAAGTGTAGTCCAGACCTGTTCTGGCTAGAGAGCCTTAGCTCCAGCTTTTCTTATCTGAGCAACTTTGGTTAGTTGCCCAAGCCACTGCTGCCGTTTCAGTTTCCTGAAGGAGTAAGTCCCAGAGCAGAAAATGCTACAGTATTAAAATGCCTTACAGGCAGGAGAAGGTCTAAATAAAAACATTCTGCAAATTCCTGAGCATAGAATTAGCTTCTTGTGACTGGCCACACTAGGAAGTTTTGAGAATTCTAGAAAATTGCTTCAAATGATCCTAAGCACATAAGCATTTATAAAATGGCTGTGCTGCTGTTCACACATTTATTGTACATGGAAGTTAACCTGGGAAGTTTTTTAAAATGCCTAATAAAACTCTGCAGGACAATGATGGAAAACTGAAATCTAAGAGTTGCTGCAGTTGGAAACAAAAAGCAAAAAGACACTTTAGAATTGTGGAAGAGCAGAATTTCTTGAGATGGGGTATCGACCCCGTTTAGAATTACATAGGAGCACCTAAGAGAGATGCAGAAGTTGTATTGGTTAATGTGCTTTTAATGACTTGGGTGAGTTGGACTTGAACTGGATGACTTGCACAGGATGACTTGAACTGGGGAATCCATCTGTGAGCTTTGGGCATGTATGCACATCTAAATAATTAACTTTTAATTATAATGTGTGTGGTTTTTTTCTTGTAGTTCATGAACATCTGACTGTTAGAATGAATCGAGGAACTGGTTTCCCTGCCAGTGTCACCCAGATCTATGCAATGTCAATGCAAAGTTCTCTGCCTCCAGCATCAAGTAGTTCCGAAGCCATCCCATACATGCAAAGCAACCAGAGATTCTCAGAGGGCTGTCACTTCTGGAACGTGGACACCAGCAGAGCAGATGGCTGGAAGCTTGGAGTCGCTAATCGTCATTTTGAGTGTTACCTGCAAAAGTCTAGTAATTCCCTCTCTGTGTTCCTGGGCAACACAGTGATCACACGGAAGGCCTTTCCTGCAGACCTCAAATTCGTCAGGGTAGAGCTAGACTGCAGAAGAAATACGCTGTCATTTTATAACATGTCTGTTAAGGATGGAGGTCCCACTGCGAGCCTCAGGCTTATAGAGACAGTAAACATCCCTTTGAAGGCTCCTGTCTTTGCTATCTTTGATGTGTCTGATGGCTCTCTGAAACTCCTGCAGTGATGCATGGACTGCTGCTGTGTGGAGGCAGTGCTAAGCTGGCATATTAGAAACTGGAGCTGGGGCTGCTGTGGGGGCTTATTTGTGTGAGGGCAGGGCCTCGGTGCAGTGTGTCCCAGCACACTGCCACTTACTGCAAGAGCTCCTATCTTACTTGTTCTGTTAATCACGATGGAAATACTGCTTCAGTTTCACTTTGTTGCTCAGTTGTATCAAATGCTGTGTTGGCTGCATGTTATTAAAGTAATGTAGTTTGCAAAACTCAATGCCAATTTAGTTTATAAAAAAGTTGACAATACAAGATTAACACCTGAAGAACTAAGCAACAGCAGTACTGATCTTTTATTTGCTCTAATGCACCAGCTTTTACCTCTGCCCTCCTTCTCCCATCCTGCATAACTTAAGCCATCCCTTGTGGAAGCAGAGCTGGCCTGCAAGGTGAGTTAGAGACAAGGCGAAGAGACACCCAGTTTCCCTTGCTCTATGCTGCCCTTGGCCCCTATGAACTCTGTGATAGGTCACTTACCTACTTCTTGCCTCAGTTTTCTCCTCACCTATGCAAACTTAAATGTCGAGGTCCAGGTAGAAGCTCTCTGCACCAGCAGGGACAGTGAAGGAACTTGAAGGATGCTACAATTTAGCATATGCTAAAATAAAACCTTGCTCAGTCTTAGAAGAAAGTAGCTATGTCTTGTCTTTTGCATTTTATACACCACAATGATACGTAAAACCATGCAGGTAGTGCTGGGTCTCCTGAATGCACATGCAGTGGCTGTTGCTCTGCCTATCTTGGGTTGTACGGGCACGAAGTGAGGTAAGCAGGGCTTGTGGCATGGGATATTCTCATCCTAGAGTGCCTTTCCCAGAGTGTTTACCTGCTTCTGTTTGCCTGTCAGCTGGTGGCAGGTAAGAGACCAGCCTCAACACTAAACCTTTCCCCTGGCTTCTCTTTTGCCTGCAGGGGAGCATCTGTAACTGTTGTGGAGAAGAACCAGACCAAGCAGAAGGAATTCCCAGCTTACCCCAGCCAGACTCATACTCTTCTCACCCAGGGTTTATCTTTAATTTACTGTCCCTGGTGCAGGATGGAGGACTTTTCTGGAAGGGAAGGGGGTGTAGGAGAAGTGTCCATCTTGTGCCCTCCCCAGTACCCCCTGCTCCCACCAGTCTGTTGAGGGCTCATACATGAGCGATGCTGCCTGAGACTGAGGCCAAACATGTAAAAGGGGCTGCCATGGCTTCCTAGAGCTGTTTGTCAGCTGAGCCCGAGATAAGAGTGTACCCCAAGGCGGGGCCTCTCACGGGGTAAGCGGAGGGACTCGCAGCTGCGGGGCTGGTGTCCAATCCGGGCACAGCGCCAGGGACGTCCTTTTAGTTTCGTTTCTCGCAGACCGGCCGAGACGCCATTTCTGCAGCCATGGCAAAAGCTAAAGAAGAGTTTGGAGGGGGTCCCAGCCTGGAGGACGAACTCAGCTGTCCCATCTGCCTGCATCTGTACAAGAACCCGGTGTCGCTGAGCTGCGGTCACAGCTTCTGCAAGAAGTGCATCCAGAAGGCGCTCAGTGCCCAGCTGCAGTCCAGCGCCCCGTACTGCTGCCCCATGTGCAAGCTCCAGCTGGGGCCCATCCTGGAGCTGCAGAAGAACTTCCAGCTGTGCAGCATCGTGGAGGCCTTTCAGGCCACCGCTTCTCAAGGACAGCAAGGCAAGGGCTCTGCAGAGGAGAAGAAGGAGGTGGTTCCCTGTGACTTCTGCCTGGATTTGTCCCAGCCGGCAGTGAAAACCTGCCTGGTCTGTGACGCGTCTTTGTGCCAGGCCCACCTGAACAAACACAACGCCAAGGCTTCCCAGCAGGACCACGTCCTGGTGGAGGTGGGCGCGGGCGGTGCGGTGGAGGAGAGGAGGTGCCGGGAGCACGGCAGGGTGCTGGAGTGCTACTGCCAGGACGAGGGGAAGTGCATCTGCACGCTGTGCTCCATTGCGGGATCCCACAAGGGCCACAACGTCATCACCCTGAAGGAAGCACGTGAGAAACAGCTGGTAAGGGGCTCTTCTCTCCCCACAGCCCTTTGCAGGGTTTGCTCTGAAGTCCTGACCTGGAGGGAGGAGGGAGGGGGAAGCTGCTGGAGGGGCAGGAAGGCTTTTCCTTTGGGAATGGGGACGGTGGGGTAAGGGCCATGCAGGCAGCAGCTTGGGGATTTCATATCCAGAGGAGGTCCACAGGAGGGTCACCAAACGCTCAGAGCACCTCTCCTGTGAAGAAAGGCTGAGAGGTGGGGTTGTTCAGCCTGGAGAAAAGAAGGCTCTAGGGAGACCTTATTGTGGCCTTTCAACATTTAAAGGCAGCCTATAAGAAAGATGGGGACAATCTTTTTAGCATAGACTGTTGCAATAGGACAAGGGGTAATGATTTTGAACTAAAAAAGATATTAGGAAGAGTATTTTTTTTTTAACAATGAAGGTGGTAAAACAATGGAACAGGTTGCCCGAAGAGGTGGTAGAAGCCCCATCCCTGGAAAAGGCTCTGAGCAACCTGATCTAGTTAAAGATGTTCCTGTTCACCACAGGGGGGTCGGACTAGATGACTTTTAAAGCTCCCTTCCAGCCCAAAACTTTCTGTGATTCTATGTCTGCCCCAGCAGGGAGTGGTGCATTTTACTGGAATTTGCTTTTCATTTCCTCCTTTGTCTCGTGAAAGCAGCCCAGCAGATTAAGTAGAGAGAGAAGAGCAGAGGAAGGCATTTGGGGCTGACTGGAACAAGGTTGGGTAAATCCTGCAGTGTCTGCTGATGTGGACGTGTGTGCGGGACAGTGAGCGAGAGGCAGGTGTTGGGCTTCACTGTCCCATGCCACTGAACACACACTTGTCCTGTGCAGCCCCAAGCAACTGCAAACTGCCATTGACAAGTGTATTCCTCGCTGGGAATTTCTGCAGGGATTAAGAAATCTCTTCCTCCACACAGTCTCAGGGATCCTACCACTGTTGAATTATAGGTTGGGAACCCAGTTTTCCCACTTGAGGCCCTTCCCTCTGGTTCCCTCCTCCTCTGCCCTAAGTTTTGCTGAGCCAGCATCCCAGCAGGCACAGAGGTGTAGGACCTCGACGTCCTGGCCTTTGCTGTCCCTGAAATGCTCCAGAATCGGCTGATGGGATAAAACGCATTTGCTATTCAAAATCATTGCCTTGCATTTCTGGGCTCAATTTAGAGCCCAAGCAAAACAGCCTGCAGGAACGCAGTGCGTGAGCAGGAACCGCCTGGCTCGCTCTGGACCTCAGGACAGGTCATAGCCTCCTCCAGAATCAGCAGAGCTATACACATCACAAACTAACTTTCTTCTGTGAATTACATATGAAATACCCTGAGCTGCCAAACAGAAGTGGGCTACGTAGGATAGTAGCTATTTCCTTCATCCCCGGAGCTGGTAAAGGAGCAACACTGCCCTGTCTGTGGAAAAGCGATCTCCATGGGTAAGCTGAGATCTCAGCTGTCTATTCCTCTTGGGGTTTTTTTTTAAACTCTCCAAGACAGTCAGGGAAATCAGGAATGTAGTTCTTCAGAAGTATTTATAAAAGGTTTCTGGTCAAGAAACCTCAGTCAAATTTGATTATTTGTCTCTCAATTTTTCAAAAATTAAAACTTTCCAGCTGTGACAAATATATCATGGAAAACTTAACTTTTCTAGCATCATTTTTATTAGAGAAAGGGGAATCTGGCAGCTGTGTCTGCTGTGGCCATTCATGGGTACTCAAGGTGTGAAAACACTGCTGGAGGCAGCCAGGAGTAACAGAACCATTCAGAGATTGTCTAATCCCGCAAAAACAAGGTTTAATATCCCCTTTGAAATGTGTTACCATGCAGTATACCAGCACTCAATGATCTTTTCTGAAGATCAGCGAAACAGTGGTGATGGTTGCTTATTATCTCATCCTTGGATCCCACAGCTACTGAGAGATGTGAAAAGTAAGGATTTGGATCACATTAGGTGCATATGAAGATTCTGGCAGGAACAGAGCTTTAATGGATAAAGTGAGATTTATTCTTTTAAAGTGAAATTTACTTATTCAAAGGGAAAGTTGTTTATTAACCTACCACATGCAACGTTCCACGTATTTAAAAATTGAACACTGACCTGAGAGATTTCAAGATCATATCAGTTTTACACTATGCCCTATGTCTATGAGGAGGCAAGTGAGCACGGTTTATTACAGAACTCGCTGGTGAAAGCGGGCAGGTAGAAGGCACCTGTGCCATTTCACCAGCTCCACAAACTACGAGTCTGGTTTAAAGCTACCCATGCTGTGTCCCTGCAGTCACATTCAATGCTGTCTTTTCTTCTTCTAGGGTGAACTCTCGGTCATCATGCAACAGCTGCAGAAACATAAAAGTGCTTTAACTACCTCCTTAGAAAAGCTTCAGAAGAGTGAGAATCAGCTCAAGGTTTGTACCCAGATCATTGCTAATTTGGAGCATCTTTCCTCTGCAATTTCCCAGAAAAACAAAAAGTGATGGCAACTACACTGTTAGAAGCAGACGACTAGAAAGAGCTATAGTCCAAACTAGGAAAAACACTGATGTAAGAAAATGCCAGAAGTCAAGCTTTCTCACAGTCTCCCAGCATGGCTTCACAGGAGGAACCAGCTGGGAGATTCCACCATTTATTGTGGTTGCACAGACCAAGTTGCAGGACTGGCAGACCACAGATTGTACCCACCATTATGTATTTTAAAAGCTTTTCTTCCATTAAGTGAAAGAAAAACAAATTGAGTCTGCAACTGTGGATTTTCAGTGTGTACTGATACAGTTCTCACATTGGTAGCTAAACTTTATCTGATTTTTTTACTGCATCAGGATTTTCATAGCCCCCTGTTTAAAAAGATACTCTAAACATGCTTATTGTCTGCTTCCTTCTAAAGCTAGTGCAAAGGATAGACACGATCCTAATTAATAACCAGAGACACTAAGTTGAAATGTTCCATTTTCTTGCCTCTTCATTTAGACCAATACGAAAACAGTGACTTCTCAGCTGCAAAAGCTGTTAGAGGAATTGAAGACAGAGATTATTCAGAAAGAGAAGAAGATTCTGAGTGACATTCAATCCACTGAGAAAAATCAGCTGGCAGACTTTACCAAAGTGAAGAAGGAAATGGAACAGAAGAGAGATGAGGCTGAGCAACATCTTCAGTCTTTGCAGAAGATGAGTGAGCAGCCAGATACTTTCCTCTTCCTCAAAGTAAGGCACAGTATTCTGCTTTTCTTCGTAAATATGCCTATTTATCAGCCAGATGCCCTTTCTGGAAATCACACTAACAGTTTTTTTCTTTTTTTTTTTTTGGCAATTCTATTTGTAGGAATTTAAACTGGCCAAGGACAGGTAAGTTCCACCTGAAAACACTAGTTTCCTTCTTTGAAAACATACGATGTTGATAACTGGGATTAAACCCCCTGCCTGTCCCCCTCTGCCCTGGCACCCTACACTGCAAATCTGCTCCTTATTCCTGCCAAGCCAGAGGGTACCACTCCCACACAATTAATGAGGATGGAGAGATATCTGCCTGCTGTTCCAGTGGCCCCTTTCGGTCTCCTTGGCAGCTACACAGTTGCTGGATTCTGATGAAAACCACTGGGCTTTATAACCAGAGAAAGGTTTTTAACAGAGATGGAGCCTGTAGGGTTCAGTTTACAGCAACACTCCCTTGGATGTTTATTGGTGACACTCCTGCACGTAAGTCCCAGTGAACAGCCTTTGGCAGCAGAGGTAACTGGCTCATTTCCCACCGATTTTTGATTCTGCTTGTGGACAAACTTAATAGCTAGACATATTTATTATCCCTTCTTTTTCAAGTGATACATTTAATTTATAGCATATCACCTCCTAATTGATGTCTAGGTGTCAGTTGTAATTCCACAGTGCAAAACCACACCAAGAGTAAGCTACAAATCCACAAGGGATTTTGCTGCAGCACTAAACTCCCCAGCTGCATGAAAGACTAGCTCAAACATCTAGCTGGATTTTAGGATGTCATCTCTGTAACTTGTACAAATTAAAGCAAAGTTTGAACTTGGATTGTAAGGATAACATTGAATCACCATGTACCTAGGGGCTATGCTGGCAGCAGTAGAGTCCATTACTCACAGCTGTGCCACAAGTCAAAATCTAGCCTATGGGATCAAAGTCATTTTCCAGAAGCCTGGACACCGTTTAATATGTTTGGCATTTTCTTTCTATCATGGTGGCAGTTGTGCTAGAACAGTTAGAGCCTGCCTGCAGCAGGTCAAAGCACTATTCACACAAGAGTATTAGCAAAATGCCTTCGCCTTTCTCATTTTCTGCATTTGAAAATTCCCACCCAGGATTGGTAAGCAGAAGGTATTGCTAAATAAATAACAATATGTAACAACTGCAACTCACTGAAGTTTGTCAGAGAGCTGTTTGCATGACACTTCATGTTGCCAAAGCACCCTCCTCTTTGCAGAGTCCTTCCCAGTGAAGGGGTTTGTTAACTTGACTGCCTGCATCCTAGGGTTGCGTGTCACAATTTCACCGTGGAGGGGAGAGATGTGACAGTAGTGCAGCCCTACTGGGACGTGATCAGCTTCTACCAACAAGTGAAGCGGCAGTTCATGAGTGACCTGGACTCGCTGCTGAAACGCGTGCACAGTGAGTGACCTTCCCCAGCCGCTGGCTCCTTTATACAGGGCATGTGTGTGGCCTTGAGGGGCTGATGAGGATTCAGATGGGAACTTGGGGGTGCTGGAGAGCAGAGGGCAAAGGGAGCAGAAAGGTAAGAAGGAAGAGGTCTGCTCCTAACCTAGCGTGAGGCCAGCTTCTACTCTGCCTGATGTGGTTTCCTGCTTCCACTTACATCCCAAGTCTTTGGGTGCTCAATCATGCTTTTGAGAAACATCCTCTTCATTTGCCTGTCCCCACCTAGTTTATCCCTGACCATGAGATCCAGGGGCACAGTACCAAGTCCCAAGCTTGAATGTATTTTCAGCTTTGTAAAACATTCTTCTCCATCTTTCTTAGGTAACCTCACCTTCCAAGTCCAGCAGGCCAGGTAAATCCTTTTCTTTACTTACAAAATGTTCCTGCAAATTTCTCCAACAGTTGTTCATTTAAGGACCATGTGTCCTCTGCTTCTCTCTCAAGGAAAGCCAAGCAATCTAGAAGGCTGTCCTTCAAAAGAGGGGGTCAGATCTATTCACCTCTCTTATTTCATTATTAACCAGCTGTGATTTCTGTTTTATGAGGCACTAACATTCAACACTGTTTCTTTACAGTGAGGCTCGGGATACTCACCCCTCTTCAAACTGTAAGTGTTCAAAAATACTAGTTATTCCTCAGGACTCTGGCCTGGGGCTGTAAATCTTGCAGAGAAAATATCTCACTTAGAAATGTGAACAGCATTTTTTTGCACACATCGCCTTGCCAGAGGTGAGACCAGCAGGAGCGCACTCTCAGGGCACAGCTCACAAAATCTGCAGTTGCAGAAATCTCTGAGAATTCACCAATCATTTATCTTAAGCCTGAGGGAAAGACTGGGTTTGCTTCAGTACTCAGTAAAAGCCTGAGCATGCTCTGAGGAA